TAATGACTATCTGAACACTGACACACTTTATTTTCTGAAGATACTCACTAAGGTGTTTCACTGGATTACTCGTAGTAAGTTGTATGTTTACATGGGTTTGATGTGAAAAGAACTAAACTGTTAGCCTTGGCATAGCAAAAACTAAAATATAACTAATGACCTAATAAATATCTTCCAGAAATTGTAAATTAAAATGTTCCTAACACTGGATATAGATATGCTACAATTGGATACACATTTTTCAGGTTCTTTAATGGTTCTCATATATTTTTAAGTTTGCAAGAACTGAATGGCAGCATACCTAAAAATAAGTTGCAACATTAGAAATACTGGTATATTTGTATTACAGTAGCGCTTACAAAGCTGTAGCAGAAACAAAGCCTCATTACAGTCCCCAGTCTGGTGTCTTGGACTTTGCCACCCTAGTAGACAGAACAGGAAAGACAGGTGGAAAAAAAATAAATTACTTATTAGAGAAATGAGACGTAGGGGTGACTGTCTGATAAAGGATCATCAGTGTTTTGGGATCTCGTTAGAAACCACAGACATCCCAAGACAACCATGGCTCCGTCATGCCTCTATCTTGGGTGCAGCATATTGTGGCTGCCCTCCAGACCCTTTGTCCCTCAGCCCTTTTCCCTAATGGCTCTCATGAATGAAGCTGTGTGCACTCATTTCAAGCACAGTTACTGCACCAGGTACAGGTACCTTACCCATTATGATATCTCCCTCTTGACATAGGCATTAGCATTTCACATATCTTGACATGCTTTTTTTTTTTTTTTTTTTTTAAATGTGATAAGAAAAACTCTGCAATGCAATGACAATCATAATGTATGGTGGGTTTTTTCACCATTGATTAATGCACCCCTTCTCACTAACACATCTTCTTACATCTTCTTAAGAAGCTGTTAAATATTCACATGCAAGTCCCCACCCACAACCCAGAATGGGAATCATCAACCTAAATATCAGAAAAAAAATTCTGCCACAAAACTTTCTGTATTTCTAAAGATGATAAACAGCGCCAGATTTAAGCAACATGGAGTTTGTGAGCTCTAAGATGTAACAACAAGTCCTTCCTCCAACTTCCAGGATGATTGTTTAGAGAAAGGTATGCCATCTGTGGAATTAGTAATTCATTTCTTTTAGGTACTTGGACTTTGCTCTAAATATACATATACTGGCAAAGTTCAGCATCTGAGATCCTATAATGTCACAGCTCATCCCAATTGGCATATGTTTGCTTGTGAGAGAGAAAGAGGAAATATAATTTTAAAATTTAAAAAAGAATGTATCACAGTACTCAAATTGTTCTATTTTTAATTTCTTTTGGGAGCAGTCCTAGTACAGTCAGATTATTGTGACTATTTTCTCTAGAGAAAGCATTTTAATAAGAAAGCTGTAGTTTGCTCCTAAGGCTGAATCCAAAAAATAATTAATAAGTATGTATTAAAATTGTGCATACATGGACATTTAGCTCAGTGCAGTGAAGCAAACAAGTGAACAACTGATAGCACACTGATACAGAGAGAAGCCAAATTTGCCATAGCCATCTTCTTCACATAGTGCCAATTATCCTGAATGATTCATATGCTTACCAAAACACCAAACATGAACATTTTGATGTGTAATGTGTTATATCTATGTTAATTTCTGTGCTGAAAGACTAATTAAACTGGTGATTGTCATTCATATCTCTTGCTATTGTATTTGTACTCAAAATTGCAATAGATGCAATCTGTGTGTATTGTTTTTTTTAATTCAAGTAGTTCAAAATTAATTTGAAGCCATACAACATCAATTATACTTTTATTAGGGAGCTAATAAATTAATAAGCTTGTAACTAAGGGTTCTCATGTTGTAGATGAAGATTATTTCAACAGGGATGAAATGCAACCTTTGTATTAATTTGGGGTTTTTTTAAAAGTGAATCTATCCTACAGCCACGAGATAAAGACACATGTTTGTTTAAGAGGTATCACTGCGCTGTGACAGTGATTCATGTGGCTGTAACCGCTATATTTCTATTAAAATAACAGCTTTCTGTGGCCAAAACAGCATGCCATTCTTAAAGTGTTCACACTTACTCTCTTCAGTTAATTCATGCAAAGTAATCCCATAAAGCCATTAAAGCAAATATAATAAATGAGTTCAAGACAACTGCTTATTTGTACAGGGAATTAATTGAAGGATGCAGAGAAAAAGGGAGGAGAATGAGATTAATAAACCTTAAACTCCACGCTTGTTGTGCCAAATGGCCTTTTCCCCTGTAACTATAAACAAATTTGGATTTTGAACAATTTTAGAACTCAAGGTCCTGCATTAGCAATGGCATTGTGTTCTTTACAGATTACTTACATTGCTTTCCAGCCAGAAAATTCATGAGACAAACCTGAGAATTTGTGATCCACAGAATTAACTGTGAAAAATAATATTTCTTTGCTAACTTGATGGGCTACTTGCAGGAATACCTTTGGGTCATTTTTGTCGTGGTAGTTTTAGCATCAAATTAAGACTACCATGAGGTGTGCCCCTACCAACAGGTGTATTCAGATGGACCATGCATCTCTTCCTTACAATACATTTCTGCAGCATACCCTGAATAGCCATTAATAGGGAATAAGACCTATTCCCTAGACGGCGGTGACAAGGGAATTAAAATTCTCCACTCTCATTAGACTGCAGTTGCTGCATTATGGTGAGATACACGGACCTGACAAAACCTACAGGTCAAAATTTCAAAACCTTCATTATAGCCCTATACAGCAAGCAGATTATAAAAAGGCTTACCATATGAAGAATTAACACAGCTAATCCTGTGATTTAATAGCAAGTATGTGCTTAAACACTCTCTGATTAGAAATGTGTTGGAGTGATTTTCCTGTATATTTTTTTTTCTTTACAATAGGTTATGAGTTTCTGTCAGGAAAATCAGGATGAAATACTTATTTTTACTTTTATGAGCCTGGGATAAAAAAAAAAAAAAAGGTACCCTGGGTGCAGGACAAAAAACAGGCATCAAAGTTACTATTCTCTGTAATAAATAAATAATTAAATAAATAAAAAAACACAAAGAAAAATAATTAATAGAAAATCAGAACTTTTTAAATAATCTAAAGACAGAAATATGAGGAAGAAACATATTTCTCTGTATCTTTTCATAGAAAATTTGAAAATTTCAACTTAACATCCCTACTTTTTGTTTCTTATGAAAAGTTAAATGGGAACAAGAAAAAGAACTATGTTTTTTAAGTAATCTTCTGCAGAATCAAACCTCTTGTTAACCTTAACATCTGCATAACGTGATTACTTGCCTAGCTGATGTTACTGAAAACCATAAAATTAAAAAGGACTTTTGAGTATATAACTTCAATTTTTCCAGCTCAACAGCCAAAATAATTTGTATCTGCATTAATTTCTCCTTCAGACACTTAAGTAACTTTTTTCAGGTGATGTAAAAATGTCTAATCTTCTTTTTATCTTTAATAATTAAAATAACAAAAACAAGATTTTCACTCAGTACTAATGACAACTGGCATTATTTTTTTTTTTTAATTTTTATGACTTTAGTAACACTTCTGCAATGGAAAAAATGCAGAGAAACAAAGTTAATAAAAATTCTATTGTAGACTTATCTAATTGGCTAAACGAAAATTGTCTGCCATAAAATTTGTGTTACAACATAAGTTTGAAAACAAGGAAACATTCTTGCTGGTAGCCTAGAAGGTTAGGTTAAGCCTGAGATAAAATGATCTAGTAACTCAAGTTACCACATGCTTTTTGCAATGGAAACATAACCTGAAAATAAACTTTTCATTTTTTCTTCCTCCCTCCCCCCCCGATTCATTATCTCAATACTTTGAAAATTATCTTATGAAATATGCGGAGTGTAACTGTACCACCATATAATTGAATATTTTCAATAAATAATATTGAAATAATTTGTACTTATTACTTCATATGTAGACAGATAAAAGAATAAAATCATTTGTTGGAGCTACTCTATCTCCCACTATGGGCTTCTCCTCTTTTAGTGTTTCAGATAGGTAGCGACGATGTAGTAAGAAGAACGCCAAGAGCAATGAGGAAGGATTTCAGGGCCCTAGGACGACTAGTTAAGGGATCGGGAGCCCAAGTCTTGTTTTCTTCTGTCCCTCCTGTTGCAGGGAACGATGAGGAGGTTAACTGGAAGAGCCAGCAGGTCAATGACTGGCTCCGAACTTGGTGCCACAGACAGGGTTTTGGGTTCTTCGATCATGGCCTGATTTACAGAATACCAGGCCTGCTGGCAGCAGATGGGAAAAGCCTGTCTCGCAGGGGGAAAATGGTTCTTGGAGCAGAGTTAGCAGGGCTCATTGGGAGAGCTTTAAACTAGATTTGAAGGGGGATGGGCATGTAACTGGGCTCGCTAGAGAGGCACCTAGGCATAGTAGCTCAGCAATTGTGGGGCCGAGTGCTAGTATTTTTGAGAATCAGAAGGCCCACCACTCCTCAAGGGCAAAAACTACACACTTATTGGCTTTTCTGAAATGCCTGTACATCAATGCGTGTAGCATGGGGAATAAACAAGAGGAGTTAGAGATCTGTGTGCGGTCGCAGAACCATGATCTCATTGCAATTACTGAGACATGGTGGGGTGGCTCACATGACTGGAACACTGTCATGGAGGGCTATGTTAACACTCGTGCAATGACTTTTCAAGCATAATGTGCAAAAACCTCATAAATTGTTTCCTCTTTATTAATAAAAAAGTAAAAATAGAAGTGTTCAGTAGTGATTTAATTTGGATACAGGTCTAGTTGAGAATCTTGTGTATATGTCAGTACTAATGTGAATATGAAAATTACATAAGTGTCAAGAAAGCACAAGAAAAGTGCAGAGTACTTTATGTGAAAATGTTCTAAGCTATAATTGACTCAAATTCTTATTTGGTAAGGCCTACTAAAAATCACAACAATTTCCACTATTGGGAAGGGAGGAAGGAATGGAGAACATACCTTTTTCTGTGTTGAGATTTCTGATTAGAGGTAGACAAGGAACTGCAGAACACTGATTCTAGCCTGCTTGCTTTTGCATGTGGCTTTCCTTCTTCTGTGATCAAATCTTGCGCTTTCCCAGGCACTGTGTTCTTTTCTTTCTTCACTATGTTTTTCTGAAGTCTATCCTCTTCTATTGCTAAAGAAAGACCAGTAACTGCTGCTACATTTTTCTTTCTTTTTACTTTGCCAATGAAGAAATCATCATTGCTGTCACTGTCAGAATCTGATGACTGGTTATAAAACCTCTCTTCAGTACTATCATCAAAGTACTCCTCTTCATTAGGATGTTCCTGGTCACTATCATCATTAATTTTTTTTTTAATGGCATTCAATTTGTTCATGCTCATATTTTCTTTCTTTTTTTGGTAGCCAAGTTTCCTTCCTGTTTTATTCTGAGTGACTGCTTGCATTTCTACTGCCTGAAATGAAGATTCTTCTGGAGCATAGGGTCTCTCCATTTCCACAGTTTTCTGCTTAACTTCATTCTCACAAAGTTCTTCAGCCACCCTGTCAGTTTCTATTTTCATACTCATTTTTGTTTTGTGTTCACTTCCTTGCTGTTTTTGAGCTGGTTTAAGAGCTTGGTCATCCAAATTGCTATCAAAACGTTGCGCTGATTTAGGCTGTTCTTCTGACTTTGCCTTTTTCGAAGGAGTGTTTTTGGCTGGGTTCTTTCTTGCCTCCTTAAAAGCTTTTACAGCAGCTATATAAGGGGAAGAAGAAAGATCTTTTGTTGCAGTTATACATGAGTTTACATAAGTTATTTTAACATAATACAATGTTTTTGCAAGTTAAATATGTTGTATTGAGTAAGCATATTTTGAATGTCTTAATCAACTACTGAACGCATGGGGCAAGAAATACCTTAGAATACAGCATCAACAAAGGTGAGGAAAAGAACTTGACGTTACCACCTGGATATACTGTTAAACTCGGGTTTAACTGTGAACTTCTCTTCAGCAAATAATCTGCAGCTGATAATTCTGTTCACTTAGGGCATTACTTTGTGTGTAAAAACTGCAAACGAACAGTAAATTGCTCAGATGCAATTAACCGGGTATTTGACATGCTCTGTTATTAACAAAGTAATTTTGTGACATTATTACTAGGACTTGACCCTTTTTAACATCAACTTTAGTTGGAAAATTTGAGTTCAAAGAGAACAGGAGATAACCTAAAGAGCCAGGAAAGATTCCCCAAGGATTCTGGGGACAGTTACCAGAGAAGTTTAAGGGAGTCATTTGCAAAACCTTTCAGCTGCCTTTGGAAACCCAGTTGTAATGCTCCTTTTACCTTTGTATCTGCAAGTTATTGTGCTCATTGCCAGTTCAGTCCTACTTAATTTAGAGATAATCTATTACATCCATTTGATTTTTAGAGTTCCCATTATGAGCCCTGTTTGTCCCACAGCCTATATCTCAAATGTTGTATAACATACTGTCCCATAAAAGCCCATTTGAAGCAATATAATGGACTGCAAGCTTGTCACACTTGATTCACTGCAACTGTACCCCATGCACCAGTACAGGTTGGGGGCTGACCTCCTGGAGAGCAGCTCTGTGGAAAGGGACCTGGGAGTCCTGGTGAACAACAGGATGACCATGAGCCAGCAATGTACCTTTGTGGCCAAGAAGGCCAAAGGTATCATGGGGTTCATTAAAAAGAGTGTGGCCAGCAGGTCAAGGGAGGTCATCCTCACACTCTACTCTGCCCTGGTGAGGCCGCATCTGGAGTACAGCATCCAGTTCTGGGCTCCCTAGTTCAAGAAGGACAGGGATCTGCTGGAGAGGGTCCAGCAAAGGGCTACAAAGAGGATTAGGGGACTGGAACATCTCTCTTTCGAGGAAAGGCTGAGGGACTTGGGTCTCTTTAGTCTAGAGAAAAGAAGATTGAGGGGGGATCTTATTAATACTTACAAATACTTAAAGGGAGGATGCCAGGGGGATGGGAGCAGTCTTTTTTCAGTGGTGCCCAATGATAGGACGAGGGGTAATGGGCATAAACTTGAACATAGGAAGTTCCATCTTAACATGAGAAGGAACTTCTTTACTTCGAGGGTAGTGGAGCACTGGAACAGGCTGCCCAGAGAGGTTGTGGAGTCTCCCACTCTGGAGACATTCAAAACCCGCCTGGATGCTGTCCTGTGCAACCTGTTGTAGGTGACCCTGCTCTGGTGAGGGGGTTGGACTAGATGATCTCCAGAGGTCCCTTCCAACCCTAACCGTTCTGTGATTCTGTCATTCTCACCAAAATATTCTACATTTATTTCTCAGAATATTTCATGCTGTGGACAGGCAGGAGATTGCAATGATGGCCAAACTATGATTATTCACCCAGAGTTTATAAGTATTCATTTTTTTAAATAAACTCGTTATTCAAGAGGCCTACCTCTACATTTTCTGATTCCCTCACTTTTCATAAAATTCTAATATCAACCTTTACAGTTACACATAATTTCATTTAAAATTTAAATAAGATATTTTAATGAGTATTTACTGTGATGAATATAGAAGCTTGCTTTGGTATCTGCTAAATAAAAGAAATCACTGTTTAAGAATTCTTCACCTCTTTCACATGGTTACATTTTTCAGTGCATTCTCTGCAGTTTCTGAAGTTACTGGGATAATATGTGTTATCTCATCAAGCTCTGATCTTCTATATTCAGCATAATAATGTAAGAAAATATAGAATTTCAATTTGAAAACAAATAACATGGAGAGATCTTATGGTCTACTGATATTAGAATTAAGTATCTTTCCTTGGTAATGTATACTGTATGTCAGAGAAAACTATTAATTATAAGGCTACAGAAGTCTACAAGAGGACAGCCTCACTTTTCAAATTAATATCCTCCAAACAGAATTTCCTGTGAATCCAGCAAATGAATAAAACACTTTAGGGGAAGTAGAATATGGTGACTCACTAACATGAGTAGTCTGACTGTTGAGGATACTTATGCAGTCAGTTATATAATTAAATAATCCAAATGTAAGTGTTAATGCAACTGAAATGCTAAATTACCAAGAAATAGAAACCTAATGATTTTTGCCATAAAGCTGGTAATAGTACTTAGGTGATAAATACTATAAAAACACATGTATGCAGAGACTAAATTAATGGAAAAGAACTGGGTCAGGAGGATCCCCTCAGTTGAAGTTTATTAATATTTATTCTCAGCAAAACCAAAGAGGAAAAACTATAAAAAGAAATTAACTTCTGTACAAAGTAAAAGGAAGTTTGTCTGAATAACAAATTAGAGGAAGCCATAGGATATTGGGGGCTTACAACCGAAGCTCATGTCTCAGCCAGTGAAAGAAGCAGATGAAAAAATATATAATTTATCTTGTACAACAATCTCCATTTCTTTGCAGTTTACATTTCTCACTGCCCTTTTCAAATATACTGCAAAAGCTGATGGTTCCATACTTTTAATTTCATCTTTCTGTCAAAAGAAGGTATAGTGGTTTGTGCTATGATATAACATGTCAGATCTTGCAGTACCCTATCATTACCTGGTATGTGAGTTTCTACACTAGTCTTACATTGTAAATTACTAATACAGACATATTTCCTTGGCAAGGACATATGTACAGAGAAAAGGCTTGAATAAAATGGTTTGTATGCCAATATTATTCCATCAAATATCCGCAGTACTATCTCTAGTACTTCTTTGGATTTTGTACCAAAGTATCACAACACTCTGGGAAAAGCTTTTTCCATGCATGACATATATATTCATGTTCTGCAAAGGATGTATTATCAGTAACAAGCCAGTGTAGGATAATACATGTAGCCATTGCAATAACACATAGCATAGAAAACACGTGAATAACTCACCTGTTAAACAATGTGCAATATCAGCATCACATAAACATCATTCAGATTTCATGCAAAACTTTTCAATATCTTCTCAAAACTAACATATTAACTAGCCTTAATGGACAATTGACAGTGTGTGTATAAATCACACATGAAGATGTCTATTTTCATGTACATCTTTCTTTGACCAAGTTTAGTAGAAGCATAAAATACATTTCTAAACATACTGAAAGTTGTCGAACTATTTTCAAGTATATAAAATCAGTGATTTGCCTAAGTTAAAAAATAACATTTCTAGTGTTTCTTTTGCCATTTCAAGTCCAACTTTGAAAGACTGTAATTTTACATGGTTTAGTGTTAACTGTAATTTCTTTTTTTCTAAACCTGCCAGCTGAAATTTGTTTTACACTTTGCATTTTAATTTAATCACTTGCCCTTTGCTGTTCTTTTTTTCTCCAGACATATTCAACTAATTTCATAATTGCATATGTCAGAGAGAGGGAGAAAAAAAAAAAGGTTTATGTTAGCTACAAACTTGGCACCAGATAAAGCAAAGTAATTCATCCTTTCTCTTTGCAAGAGATGACCAAAGTGAGTCCTGTTTCTACAGTTTTATCTGAGAAGTTGAAGCCTTTGAATCTATGCAGAGTCCTGATGTTTCAAAATCATTTTTCATGGATCTTGGGCACATTGTTATGGTACAATTGAAAATATCCTTCCTGATAGCTGATCTGGACACCCCAGAAGTGATTACTTCCACAATTCCACTCAGCGCCCCCCCCAAAATACAAGTTGTTGGTTTTTTGTTTAAGGTAGAGAAGGGTTTTAGAAAAAAACTCATGATTTTTTCAGTGAGGAAAAATCCAGTGCAGTCCATGGTAGATAGTTCCAACATGAATTATCTGCAGCACTAGGAATATGAACCAATATATTATATTATGCTACATATGCTATTATTATTTTTTTTATTTCAGGAGCTTCCTGTTAAGCTGACACATACTGTCCAAGTTGTTCCTGTAGGCAATGAACATGTCACTCCTCCCTTTGGTGAAAGGAACAAATTCCTTATTCCCAATCTCACATGGACATTCTTGTGGACTACCTTCAGACCTTTTTTTACCCTAAAAAAATCTTGTTTGTATTTAATTATGTGACATAACAAATGGAGCCCCGAGCTTTTAGTTCTACTAAGGATCTTCATGTAAGCTTAATAATGAGTTTGAGGCTGTGTGTTATCTGTTTTGTCTATGCAGACATACATCTGAGCAGGCCTTTTGAGCAAGTGAAGTTTTTTGCTTGGGGTTTGTGTTGTGTGGTTTGTTTTTTTTTTTCCTTATGTAGGATATGTAAGTCTTTCATGTTGGTAGAAATGAAAACCTGTCTGTAATCCCAAGGGATTCAATGCTGTGCAGAAGATGATGGGTCATGTGATCTCAAGATAGGCATCTGGTGGGGTAACTTAGAAGGGAAAGAAAGGTCTGTAAGAGCAGCTCTGTGAAACGTCAGGTGTTCAGACTACAGCTTAAGCAGTCAGGGTAAGGCTTGAGTCACCGACACTGACAGGGTAGCATCTTTCTTCTGTCTTCTCTTATCCTCTTATTTTCTTACTTTGTACCAGCTATACTAGACATTTTTATTCATTTGAACTGCAGAATATTATCCAGCATAAATAGACAGATACATACATAAACAAACACATACATACATGTACGCATAAAAGGGCAGTTTTCTGAGAGTTTGGTGAAGTCATTTTTTTTCGGTGAAAGAGCCAACAGTTGCTAAAGGCAGGCCAAAGTCTAAGTGAGACCATGTAGCTGGAAACAGGATAAGAGGAGAGGTGGGAGAAGGGGGGGTGAGGAAGGGTGCTGTTGGGTTAATGCAATT